AAAAAAACGAAACCTGCCGCTTGCTTGTGACTCCGATTTGCTTCTTTTTTTCTTTTCTGATTGTCGAGACAAACTTGGATTGTAATCCGAATCGTATTCTGATTCAGATTCACATGTTTCTGTTGTAGATCCGTGTAAATCGGTTGTAGGCGTGCATCTACCTGATCTAACGGGCTCGGTTGATTGTTGACGAATGGACGAGGAACTTGGCGCACCAGATGCATCCGGATAACTTGCGGTCCAATCTGCCCATGATGGACCTGGTTGTTCATTCTGTAAAAAAACATTTGTGATTCAAACTTCAACCATAAACTTTGATATTTTCGCTTGTAAAGTTTTGTGCGCTGTTGAAGACAAAAGTCCATTTTTTATTGTAGCCGTTTCCAGAACTATATCAGCTAATGGGAGTTCCAGATTTGTGGAAAAAGCCAAGAAGCACATGTGGCTACTGGCTTTGAAAGCAAAAACTGAGTTGCACTACTGTATGCTCCTGCAAGCCCCAAGCATTTAACGACTCAGAACTGGCAGTGTGTGTCAGGATATGCCGCGATGGCCGGTTCAGCCCAAATGTTTTTTCATGAGTTTTGTATCACACCATCCTTGAACTTCTTTTAGGAAGTAATTGTAACTATGAACTATGTAAACATCTTGCAACTGCGAAATCTGTTTGAGCGATAACAAATCTTGTTATCGAGATACAATCACACGCTGAATGCGCTCGTGCCAGGCTCTCTTGCCTCCAGTAGCCTGATGTCCTACTGACTTAGCAGTAAACGCTCTAAATGTTCCAGTTTCCTGATAAAACACAGTGTACCGTATAATTTATGCTGCGGAGATAACGTGGCCACCATATCATTTCAAAAGACGGTAGCAGATGAGTTATGTTTCTGTCGAGATCCTCGTCCACGACGCTCTGCAATCTTTCAGACTGATAAATCGTTACCTATCATCTTATTCTGCAGGAAAAAAATTGAAATATTCATGCCTGCCTGAAGAGTGAGTGCCTGAAGAGTGAGTGTGAGTGCCTGGAAGCAGGATTTGACACTAATTTGCTATATTACTTTCCTAAGCTCCAGTGATTTGTCACAGCGGCGCAGACAGAATTAAAGGCACGAGATGGAAAATTTTCCTCAAATTCACATATCAACGCAGAAAAAAAAAACAGTGCTGCAAATTCTATGCAATTAGAAAAACGAGAGGGTGCACCGCTAAAGTGGATGCCCAATAAATCTGCTTTTTAAGAGAATTTGATAG